AGATCACATCCCTGATGAATATACAGTAGAGGTGAAGAATAGATTCAAGGGTCTGGATTTGATAGATAGAGTGCCTGAAGAACTATGGACAGAGGTTCGTGACATCGTACAGGAGGCAGCAATCACCACCATACCAAAGAAAAAGAAATGCAAGAAAGCAAAATGGCTTTCTGATGAGGCTTTACAAATAGCAGAGGAAAGAAGGAAAGCGAAAGGCAAAGGCGAAAAGGAAAGATTTACCCAACTGAACGCAGATTTCCAGAGAACAGCAAGGAGAGATAAGGAGGCCTTCCTGAATGAACAGTGCAAAGTAATAGAAGAAAACAATAGAATGGGAAGGACTAGAGATCTCTTCAAGAAAATTGGAGAAATCAAGGGAGCGTTCCATGCAAAGCTGGCCATGATAAAGGACAAAAACGGTAGGGACCTAACAGAAGCAGAAGAGATTAGGAAAAGATGGCAAGAATACACAGAAGAACTATACAAGAAAGACCTCAATGTCCTTGACAAACACGACGGTATAATCACTGACCTTGAGCCAGACATCCTGGAATGTGAAGTTAAATGGGCCTTAGAAAGCATTACTAACAACAAAGCTAGTGGAGGTGATGGTATTCCAGCTGAGCTATTCAAAGTCTTAGAAGATGATGCTGTTAAAGTTCTGCACTCCATTTGCCAGCAAATTTGGAAAACGCAACAGTGGCCACAGGATTGGAAAAGATCAGTATACATTCCAATCCCAAAGAAGGGCAATGCCAAGGAATGTTCAAACTATCGCACAATTGCACTCATATCACACGCTAGCAAGGTCATGCTCAAGATCCTACAAGCTAGGCTTCAACAGTACGTGGATAGAGAACTACCAGAAGTACAAGCTGGGTTTCGAAGAGGTAGAGGAACGAGAGATCATATTGCCAACATTCGCTGGATTATGGAGAAAGCAAGAGAGTACCAGAAAAATATCTACTTCTGCTTCATTGACTATGCTAAAGCCTTTGACTGTGTGGATCACAACAAACTATGGCAGGTCCTTAAAGAGATGGGAGTACCAGACCACCTCACATGTCTCTTGAGAAACCTGTATAAGGGCCAAGAAGCGACAGTTAGAACCGGATACGGAACAACTGATTGGTTCAGCATAGGAAAAGGAGTACGACAAGGATGTATACTGTCACCTTGCTTATTTAATATATATGCAGAGTACATCATGCGAAATGCTGGCCTGGATGAATCACAAGCGGGAATTAAGATTGCTGGGGAAAAGATCAACAACCTCAGATATGCAGATGATACCACTCTAATGGCTGAAAGTGAAAAGGATCTAAAGAGCCTCTTGCTCAGAGTAAAAGAGGAGAGCGCAAAAGTGGGCTTGAAGCTCAAACAACCTCAGATATGCAGACGATACTACTCTAATGGCAGAAAGTGAAGAGGACCTCAAGAGCCTCTTGCAAAGGGTAAAAGAGGAGAGCGCAAAGGCTGGCTTGAAACTCAACATAAAAAAAAAACGAAGATCATGGCTTCCATTCCCATCACTCCTTGGCAAAAAGGAGAAGTCATGGAAGCAGTGACAGACTTCACATTCCTGGGATCCAAGATCACTGCAGACTGTGACTGCAGCCATGAAATTAAAAGACGCCTGCTCCTTGGGAGGAAAGCGATGGCGAACCTAAACAGCATGATAAAAAGTAGAGACATCACCCTGCCAACAAAAGTCCGCATGGTCAAAGCAATGGTATTCCCAGTAGTCATGTATGGCTGTGAGAGTTGGACTATAAGGAAGGCCGAGCGCCGAAGAATAGATTCTTTTGAACTATGGTGCTGGAGAAGACTCTTGAGAGTCCCCTGGACTGCAAGGAGATCAAATCAGTTAATCCTAAAAGAAATCAACCCTGACTGTTCCCTGGAAGGCCAGATAATGAAACTGAAGCTCAAATACTTTGGCCACCCAATGAGAAGGGAGCACTCACTGGAGAAGACCCTGATGCTGGGAAAGACTGAAGGTCAAAGACGAAGGGGACGGCAAAGGATGAGATGGTTAGACAGTGTTGTTGAGGCAACGGACATGAAATTAAGCAAACTACGGAGCACAACGAAAGACAGGAGGGCTTGGCGTGATGTGGTCCATGGGGTTGTGAAGAGTCGGACTCGACAGTGTGACTGAACAACAGAAAAATTGTACATACCACATTTTAAACTTAGCAGGAATTCAAATGCACAGTACCATATGGATACACGAGCCAGGGTTCGGCTATATCTTACAGTCGAGTGTGTATTTTAGGGGAAACCTAGGTTTGTTCCTGTGTAGTGTGTGAAATGGCAGACTGGAGAGTCTCTGCTCGTGCTAGGGATGCCAGCTCTGGGGTTGGGAAATACCTGAAGATTTGGGGGGTGGAGAACTGATTTCTATTGGCTGGAAATCAGCTGTAATACCGGGAGATCTCCAAGCCCCACCTGGAGGTCACTCCCCTTGGCAGTGGGGGAGCCTTCTAGGATGCATGCGCGCCACCAGCACATCACAGGAAGTGACGTGCTACGTCGCTCACGTTGGGGGCGTGGCCGAGATCGTCGGGGGGAAAACCATATCTGGGCCACGTCCCCAACGTGAGCGATGTGGCTGCGTCACCTCTGGTGATGCAGCTTCGGGGGACGGAGTTCCCACCGGGGCCCGATTCCGCCACGGCGGAAATCGGGCCTCCAAAGCGGGGGTTTCCCCGCCCTCCGCCCCCACTTGGCAGCCCTATATTCAGTGCTGCAGTTTGTTTTCAGCAGTCTGTTTTTGAATGCTCAAATAGACTAGTTAACCTTGCCGTGGTGCAAATCCTACCTGTTCTAGAGTTGCCAGCTCCAGGTTGGAAAATGCCTGGAGATTTTGGGGGTGGAGGCTGAGGAGGGTGGGGTTTGGGGAGTGGAGGGACTTCAGTGGGGTACAATGCCCTAGGGTCCCACCTTCCAAAGCAGCCATTTTCTCCAGGGGAGCTGATCTCTGTTGCCTGGAGATCAGGTGTAATCCCAGATCTCCAGCCACCACCTGGAGGCTGGCAACCCTAACGTGTCCTGACAGTGACTAAGCTCTTACCGACTTCAAGAACGGATAGAAATGTTGCACTGATTGGTGGGGGTGAACTTGAAAGTAAAAGGTCAAATAAAAATCCAATAAAAGGAACAATATTTGCTGTACTCAAATAAATGTTTAGGGAAGCGAAATTACAAGACATACCTTCACTTCCTAGTCAAAGGATGTAAGTATCGGAGGGGATTAAAGTACACCAGTGCACCCTACGAGTGTATTTGGTGGCAAGATTCCCAGCTCTGCATTCAAAAATACCCGGAGATTTGAGGATGGAGCCTGGGAGAGTGGGGGTGTATGGAGGGGAGAAAGTTTGGTAGGGTAGGTTTTTAATATTGGCCCTTTATCAGACTTCTTTCTTACCCTTGTGGTTCTTGAACCCTATGAAGCCCCCATATGTTTATGACTATTTAAAAGGAAGAAAGACTTGCAAAGGTCAAAAGATCTCCTAATGTCCAGGCCTGTTACCTTTGAGAGCCAGTTCGGTGTAGTGGTTAAATGCGTGGACTCTAATCTGGGAGAACCAGGTTTGATTCCCCACTCCTCCACTTGGAGCTGCTGGTGTGACCTTAGGTAAGTCATAAGTTCCAACAGAGCTGTTCTCTCAAGGGCAGTCCTCGGGAGAGCTCTCTCAGCCCCACCTCCCTCACAGGGTGTCTGTTGTATGGAGGGGAAAGGGAAGGGGAAGGGGAAGGGATTGTAAACCACTTTGAGACACCTTCGGGCAGCAAAGGGCGGGGTATAAATCCAATCTCCTCCTCCCTCCTGTTCTCCTCCTCTTCCTCCGTGGGTTCCATAGCAGCCCCAGCCTTTAATCCTGTCTACGGCTCGTGGGCTTCTGGTCCAGCCACCACAGTTGACCCTGGGAGGGCCCAGGGACCACAGGATCAACCTCTGCAAGATCAGCCCAATCATCAGGCCCAACCTTGACCCTTTTCTTAACTGCTTACACATCTCGGGTTAGGTTTTTTTGCCCACTTTCCCCCTTTACTTAGGTTAACTATTTTCTCACTCAAAATCCTTTTTAAAAGTACCGTAATACCCATTTGGTGTAGTGGTTAAGTGTGTAGACTCTAATCTGGGAGAACCGGGTTTGATTCCCCACTCCTCCACCCACACTGCTGGATGACCTTGGGCAAGCCATAGTTCTGTCAGAGCAGTTCTTGAAAAAGAGCAGTTGCTGTCAGAGCTCTCTCAGCCCCACCTACCTCACAGGGTGTCTGTTGTGGGGAGGGGAAGGGAAAGGAGTTTGTAAGCTGCTCTGAGACGCCGAGTGAAGGGCGGGGTATAAATCCAATCTCTTCTCTTCTTCTTAAAACACCCACCCACCACAGTAGCACTCACTGTATACTGAATGTTGCCATTTATCTACTTTAAAAGTCTATAAATAGTAGTACTCCATTGAAGGTTTTGAAGAACTGTGCTTCCTGGGAGAAACTGCCAGACCCTATTGGGTTAGGAGCATGAACAGCTATTGTACCTAGATTGGAGATCTCAGCTTGCCTTTATTATTACTGACATAGGACATGATGGATTTGTCACGGTGCAGTGCCAGAACTGCTAAGGCTTTTTATGGTGAAGCCCCTTGAAGGGGGGGATCCTACCCGGGCTTAGGTAATGTTGCCAAGGGTGGGACACAATGGACGGGCCGTAGCTTTCCTTCCAATCACAGTAGCTAAAAGTGGTGCCTCTTCCATTGCTAAGCTAGACATCACTTCAACTTGTACCAAGTGAGTGATGTCATAAAAGTAACTGGTGGCAACTGAGATAACATGGAACAGTTCCAGCAGCAATCGGTTGCCCTTGACTTTCGAACTTTGGAAGAAGACAAGCCCCTCTCCTGGCTTAGTTAAAGACAGTATATCGGATGGAGCACAGTGTCTTGCCCTCTTTTCACGGCTTCATACCCTTGTGGTTGGCTCTTCTGATCGGAATGAAATGGGCAGAGAAGACCTTCGGCTGCCCGACAGAATGCACCTGTGACCAGTGGAGAGTGAACTGCGAAGGAAAGAACTTAAGCCATGTCCCAAGCAAAATTCCACTGACTACCAAAGAACTGATGCTGCAGAAGAACAATATCACTTCTCTACCACACATAGACCTTAATTATTTAAGTGAATTGGTTTATCTGGACTGTAGCCAAAACCAGCTAAAACTGGACCCGCACTTTTCCTTTACTGGTCCAACCAAGTTGATATACTTGGATCTCAGTGTCAACAGGATTGCGTATGTCTCTCACCATACTTTATCACAGCTGGAAAAGCTGATGCTCCTGAATCTCTCCAGCAACCCAAACCTAACGCTGATTGAGAAAGAAGCTTTCAGAGGCAACCCCCTGCTGATGTACTTGGATGTGAGCGGCTGTGGCCTGAAGCACGTCGACGACGATGTGTTCGAACATCTCAGCAACCTTCATATTTTGGGGATAAATAACAACCCCTGGAGGTGTGACTGCGCCTTGTTGGAATTTTGCACCTGGATAGAAGAGACAACAATTGAGCTTACGAGTAAGACCTCTATATGTGATACGTGACCTTTCTATTGTTCAAAATCCCACAGGAATGGCATCTTCTATTTGTAACCGTATGTTACTCCCTTAAAGTACCCCCATACCTTTCAACACACACAATTGGGAAGAATATTTACAGGCTTCTAAACAGGTTAAGACACTGAGCTGCAGACTGGAAGGTCTGTAGCTTGGCAGTTCGAGACCCTGGTGCCGCGTGACGGAGTGAGCTCCCGTCTCTGGTCCCAGGTCCTGCCAACCCAGCAGTTCAAAAGCAAGAATTTGCAAGTAGATAAATAGGTACCACTTTGGTGGGAAGGTAACAGCATTCCGTGCGCCTCGGCATTTAATCATGCCGGCCACATGACCACGGAGAAGACTTGGGACAGTGCTGGCTCTTCGGCTTGGAAATGGAGATGAGCACTGCCCCCTGGAGTCGGATTCAACTGGCTTTTGAGCAAGGGAAACCTTTACCTTTAAACACCTAATGGCAAGAGCCAGAATTTTGCTGGCAGGATATTATGCAGCCCAGGTTCAAAATATACATTTATACAAATGTACATATATGCACAGAAATAGCTAATGGGAGATCTCTTTTGTCCACAACAAATAATTCGGAAGACAACCTGAAACAGAATAGGAACCCAGATGGAGGAAAGGAAATATGGATTTTCTCAGATTTTTTTTAAAAAGTCAGGCTTCCTTGGTCTGAACTGCAGACAGGTTGCCAAAACTATCCATCCTTCTCTGGGGCACCTTCCAAGGTGGGATAACCACTGAGCAGTCAAAAATTACTTGTCTTATCTTTTGGATAAACTGTACCGATAGAGTTGCCAAGTGCTTACCTGTCCCAGAGCGGAGGAGTCCAGGCTTGCTCCGGAAGTCACGCGCCGCAACCACATCATCACATCAGGCACGCCAGGGCGAGGCCACAATCATCCATAGAGTTTTCCCTTGGATGACCGCGGCCCTGCCCCCAACACGCTCAATGCGACTGCATCACTTCCGGGTGACGTGCTGATGCCGGGCACGTCACGTGCTTTGGAGGTGGGGTTCCCCCCAGGGCCCGATCCGGCGCCGGCGGGGAACGGGCCTCCCAGGCGGGGGTTTCCCCGCCCCCCGGGGGGACTTGGCAGCCCTATGTACGGAACAGTTGACCTTAGACCAGTACTTATTTTACCGAGTCCTTGAGATTTTAGACATATCCACTTGATGCTTGACTCTTCTGCAGTTTCGGTTTTAATTCTCTCCAGGCTTGGCTGATTCCATTCTCAAGGAGACTTTCCCTCAAGAGTCTTTAAGAACCTTTCAATAGAGCCAATACTTTTTGTGCTTGCCAATGCTAAAGCAAGGGGGGAGAGGGCATATTATTCCATCTCCTCCAGCTCGCATGCAAGAAACATTGACTTTTTCTCCCCTCCTGATAATATATTAAAGTCCCTGGTTCTCGAAACCGATTCTTTTGAGGAGAAGCTCTTAGATTTATATTAACCTCTACTTCCTTTCGATCGACAACATACGCTTGCTAAATTCTATTTGCTAAAAAGAGAAAGTGCCATCAAAGACAGGAGAGTGGAGGCCATCCTTAGTCTACTTTGTGGTTTTACTACGAAGTTTGGGGAGATGACTAGAGTGACTTCCGTGTATACTGGGATTATTGATTTATTTCGATTCATATCCCGCTTTGCCTGACAGGAGGCTCAAGGCGGCGTACAATGGGTTAAAAACTACAATAAAACACAGATAAAATTCCACAAACAATTCCAAACAATAATATAAAAAGTACAGATTAAGTGCAGATGGCAATCGTGAGATGGTCCAGTATAACTAGAACCAGTATCCCCGGTTGTTCATAATGCTGGTAACATGTGGGCCATGATAGATCAATTTTTTGTAGCGTGTAGGAGCAGTGACAGCTCCTAATCGAAGGCCTGGTGGAAGAGCTCCGTTTTACAGGCCCTGCAGAACTTTAGAAGGTCCCGCAGGGCCCTGGTGTCCTCTGGGAGCTCATTCCACCAGTGTGGAGCTGCCACTGAGAAGGCCCTAGCTCTGGTGATGACCAATCTGGAATCTTTTGGACCGGGTAGAGTCAGATGGTTTTACGTCCCCAACCTCAGTGTTCTCTGGGGGACATGTGGGGAAAGGCGGTCCCTCAGGTAGGCAGGCCCCCAGCCATGTAGGGCTTTAAAGGTCAAAACCAGCACCTTGAAGTGAATCTGGTATGCTATTGGCAGCCAGTGCAATGCCTTCAGCACAGGCTGGATGTGCTCTCGAGTGGAGAGGCCCATCAACAGCCTGGCTGCTACATTTTGCACCAGCTGCAGCTTCCGGATTTGGGACAAGGGTAGCCCCATATAGAGAGCATTGCAGTAGTCCAGTCTTGAGGTGACCATAGCATGGATCACCGTTGCCAGGTCATTGCGTTTGAGGAAGGGAATCAACTGCCTAATCAGCCGTAGATGGTAAAAGGTTGCCTTGGCAGTGGCTGCTACCTGGGCCTCCGTTGTTAAGGCAGCATCCAGGAGCACTCCCAAGCGCCTGACCCTTGGCGCTGGCACCAGCGGCGCCCTAGCTAAGGTCAGTAGTGGGATCCCTACCCCTGACCCGCTCCGACTCAAGCACAGAACCTCTGTCTTGGTTGGATTCAATTTCAATTGGTTCAGTCTAAGCCAGCCCACCACGTCCTGAAGCGCCTGATCCAGGTCATCTGGGGTAGAGCCGGACTGACCTTCCAACAGCAGATATAGCTGGGTGTCGTCTGCATATTGGTGACACCCTAGCCTCTGGGCAATCTGGGCGAGAGGGCGCATGTAGATGTTGAATAACATAGGGGACAGCACCGCTCCCTGGGGAACCCCACAGACTAGCGGGTACCTCTGGGACATCTGCTCCCCTAGCACCACTCTCTGTCCCCGACCTTGGAGAAAGGAGACAAGCCATTGTAAGGCAAACCCCTGTATCCCAGTGTCGGTGAGGTGGTGGACCAGTAACTGATGGTCAACCATGTTGAACGCCGCTGACAGGTCCAACAGCAACAGTACCGCCATACCGCCCCGATCCAGATGCCTCCGGAGGTCATCTGTGAGGGCAACCAGTGCCGTCTCTGTCCCATGGCCCTGATGAAAGCCGGACTGGAAAGGGTCGAGCATGGAAGTGTCATCCATAAAGCTCTGCAACTGAATCGCCACCAGTCTCTCCAATAATTTGCCCAAATAATGCAAATTTGAGACCGGCCAGTAGTTCGCCAATTTGGCCAGGTCTAAGGATGGCTTTTTAAAGAGAGGGCAGACCATCACTTCCTTGAGTGCTCCCGGGAACAGTCCCTCCACGAGGGACTTGTTGATAATATCCCTGAGGGCACCTTGAAATCCCTCATGGCCAGCTTTGATAAGCCATGAAGGGCACGGATCAAGGATGCACGTGGTTGGGCCTTCCGTTGAGAGCAATCTGTCAACTTCCTCAAGGCTGAGTGGACTGAAATAACCCAGAATAGGACCAGAAGACATGCATGGAGCCTCGAGTTTGCTCACTGTCGCAACTGTGGTGGGGAGATCACAGCGGAGGGACAAGACTTTATCTGCAAAACAGCTCGCAAAAGCCTCACAGCCAATATCCAATTCCCTAACATTTGGTCTGCCCTTTGGCAGATGTTAACGACCGAATGGTTCTAAACAATTGTGCCAGGCGTGAGCTAGCAGACGCAACCATGGCCACGTAGAACTCTCTCTTTGCAGCCTTGACTGCCATCTCATAAGATATCATAAATGTCCTATAAGATGCTTTTGTTACTTCGTTGCGGTCACGCTGCCACCGTCTCTCTAGTCGTCTGAGCCCTCATTTCATCAGCCGCAGCTCCTGGGTAAACCAAGGAGCCCGCTTAGAGCGAGGGCACAGAGGGCATTGAGGAGCGATCTTGTCAATGGCTGCTGAGAGTCGATCATGCCAATCCTTGACTAGCTCATCCAACGACCCGCCAGGGGGCATAGGTTCCTGCAGGGCCATCTGAAGCCACTGAGGGTCCATTTGGCTCCACGGGTGAGCTAAAATATGCTCGCCACCCAAACAGGGTCAGGGTGCAATGTTCACGCAGGCCTTCAGGGCATGGTGGTCCAACCATAGTACTGCTGTAGTAGTAATCTGGTCCACTGTGACCCCCACCATGAAGATCAGATCAAGTGTGTGACCAGCTCGGTGACTGGGGGCTGTTACATATTGGGAGAGTCCTAGTGCCCATGGACAACACCAGATCCACCGCCTGTGAAAAGGCCGCATTGTCAGCATGGATATTGAAGTCATCCAGGACTATCAGTCTAGGGTACACCAATGCCCAGCCCGACACAGCCTCTACCAGGGATGACAGGCCATCAGCCGGTGCGTTGGGCGGATGGTACACTAACCAGATCACCAAACTCTCCCCGGCTTTCCAACCAAAGCCGCCACACTCCATGCGTGTGAGCCTTAGTGGCGGGAGCGCCCTGAAGGAGTAAGCCTCCCGGATGAACAGAGCCACTCCTCCTCCCCCCACCCCATAGTCCGTGACTGGTGGAGGATGGAGAACCCAGGTGGAGCCACTTGGGAGAGCACTGCGGTCTCCCCATCTCATACCCAGGTCTCCATCATGCAAGCCAGGTCCACATTTTGTTCCTGCAAAAAGTCCCAGAGGACTGAGGTCTTATTATTTATGGACCTGGCATTGCACAGCACCAGTGACGGAGAGGGGTCTTTAAGCCTAGTTCGACTGACTGCCACCTTTAGGATGTCACCCCCCCTTCAATTTCAATTTGAGATTGGAGATGGGGTTGGGAGGTGTCCCACTATAGCAAGAGATCTGGTCCCCCCTAATTCGGGAAAGGGTCATAAGGTCATTTCATCAGAGGCTGTGGTCCCAGTTTAGAAAACAAATATATGGAACAAGGTTAAGGATGCAACCTTAATAATATTAATAGTATCTGCCTGCCCTTCAGTTTGCCTGGGGACCTTGTGCCTCTTGGTTTACCTAGCTCTGCAAAGTCTTGCAGACCAGTCTGTTGGGCCTAGCTGGGTCCTTCTCTCAGTCTGGGAGCCTAAGAGGTTGTCAGTGGTAGAGCCTGCGTTGAACTGAAACTGTCCTATGGCATCACAAAGTTTGAGTCCAGTGGCACCTTTCAGACCAACAAAGTTTTCCTTACTTTCCCATAAGGCTGCCTCAGAGGATTGCTTGGAGAGATCAGGAACAAGAAGACCACAAGAGGAGGATCCTGGAGGCAGCATATGTGCCCAGGGAAGGGGACCGTGACAGCACTTTGCCCTCTGGGAAAGTAAACCCTCTCCCAATACTACCATGTTCCCCTTATCCTCTTCCCTTTCCGACCCTACCACATGCTGTGTTTCCCTCTCTCCCTCTCTCTTCACAAGCCCTTTCTCATTTCACAGTGGGATTCTCAGAATTTCCTTCTTTTCAAGTGGCAAAATCACGTCTCCTTTTTCCCTCCCCACCATTTCCTTCTACAGTTGAAAAACAACTGTGGTGGTGGCTACAAGCGCGGACGGCTTCAAAAGGGAATTAGATAAGCATATGGAGCAGAGGTCCATCAGTGGCTATTAGCCACAAGGTATAGATAGGGACTCTGGGGCAAGGGGTGCTCTGTCTTCTTGGTGCTTGGGGGGAGGCAACAGTGGGAGGGCTTCTAATGTCCTGGCCCCACTGGTGGACCTCCTGATGGTACCTGGTATTTCTGGCCACTGTGTGATACAGAGTGTTGGACTGGATGGGCCTTTGGCCTGATCCAACATTGGCGTCTCTGATGTTCTTATATGTTCTTATGCTGGTGGCCACACCAAGATGGACAATGCAGTTAGAGTTACTTGTAAGTGTACATTACCGCCGTTCCCCAAATATACCCCAGAGAGCACTATGGTCGGGGTCACAACATTGACTAACTATTCCAGGCCCCAAGGATGCCAGGCTCATGGCTACCAGGGCCAGGGCCTTTTCAGTGACAGCTCCTCACTGGTGGAATGAGCTCCCGGAGGAGATCAGGGCCCTGCGGGACCTTGTACAGTTCCGCAGGGCCTGTAAGATTGAGCTCTTCCACCAGGCTTTCAGCTAGGAGCCGCCCACCACCATTACCACTGTTAACCATTGTCGTTATCAACATCTATGACAAAGGTGGCCCTGTATGGAGAATGAGCCCTACCGTTGCGGGAGGCTACTGAATTGGGGTTTTAGAACGACATCTGATAATATGCCATCTTAATTTACTGAAGGGACGATCACTATCCCAAGCACTTTAAAGTATGAATTGTCTATTCTTTGGTTGTTTTAACTTGTTTTTAAGTGTTTTATTGTGCTTTGGCACATGGTGCCGATAAATGTAAGCCGCCTTCAGCCCATCCACGGGGAGGGCGGGATATAAATATAATAAATAAATAAATTATGGGAAATGCCACAGCTGGTTAGGACCTCAGATGTAGCGTATCTATACCTGCATTGCATACAGGAGTCCCCATATCCATTGCTTGGTGTTGCCAGTTGAAAGGATCTCTAGTAGTTGGGTTGGGAAAGACTTCTCTGTCTGACACTTTGGGGTGCTGTTTCCATTTGAAGGAAACAAGCTAGGTGGATTGCTGAGTCATACACATGGAGTACAGGTTTTTCCTATGTGACAATGTACAGTTAAAAGGTATAAACTGTCCCTTCATAAATTTTCACTGGAGATCAGAGGGTGTTTTTTCTAATGAATAAAAGCATAACATTCTGGAATAGCTTTCAGCATACTCCTAGACACATTTATAACAAGTTGCAAATAATGGTTCATGCAGTCAGAACAGCTGGGGGGGACGGACACTTTACTTCCTGTTGAGTATGAGTGTCAAGGGGCTTTTCCGCATTCTAATTTTCCTTCCGTGTAAGTTCCTGTTCCTTTGGGGTTCCCCCCCGTTCCGCACTTGTTTTGCTCCCTCTAGTGGCCAATAAGATATTACATCAGTTTATGTCAGGCATACCTCCCGGCAGAATTAAAGTGCAGGTTTGAGATGGAAGGAATGTGACGTCTGTTTCCCCTGACATTGCTGGTGCAAGCGAAGACGATACTCCCCCATTTGGGAGGATTTAACACCCCCCTGTTTTTTTAAAAAAAACACACACAAGAACTTTGAATTTTTCGGGAAAACTGAAGGCTCCCAGACCCGTAGAAAAAATGTCTCCTGTCTATACATGGCCCCGTGCTTTGTGTTTTTCAATCTGCATTCAGGGCAGGTTTGGAATGACATCTATGACAGAGGACTTTGCACCCCTCCCACGTTATCCTTAGGGCTCTTTACCTGTGCATTTCTTGCCTTGTAAGTGCTACTTAGAAAACCAAATACCGACTTACCAGTTGCTGCTTAACATGCTGATCCGTCTTGTGTTTCATGTTTGCAGACACTGCCGACATCCTCTGTAAAGAACCCAAGGCCTTTCAGGATCATCAGCTTTTCGGCATGGTGCAACACGGCCTCCATTTCGCTTGCCTTGTGCACTTAGAAACCCACGATTTCCTAATTATGGCTCTGATTGCCTTCTGCATATTTTTTGGTGGAATATTCGTGGCTTGGTTGGTTGGCATAAGCACAGTGATGTACTATCATCCTATCATGAAGGCCGACGACGAATCTGATGAGGAGGAGTGCAGGATGACTTAAAATTGCTCTTTTGGAACATTTGCAAGCGTCCGCTTCCAAAGAAAGATCTGAATTTGGGCCTCTTTGTTTTATTCTGGAGCCAGTGTGGAGTAATGGTTAAGGTGCTATACTAGGATCAAAGAGATCTGGGTTCAAATTCATACTGTACCATGAAGGTCACTAGGTGATGAGGCACTCTCTCTCGATCTAACCGACCTGATGGAGTTCCCGGAAGGCTAAAATGAGGAAAGGGGAACTATGTCCACAGCCACTACCTCCTATATATGGAAAGCCATTCCACTTACGTCGTGACGTCATCAAATGCAGGCATAACATTCCCTGAGCTCTGCAGTTTCCAGCTACTGTCACAAGTGTTTTAACTTGCAGTTTCTCGTGTACCCAACAAGATATTCTCTTGATTCTTTCACTGCAGTATTCCAGACACTTCATACTAGCTTACAGTGTTACTGAGTTCAGTTTCCCTTGCATATTTGAGTGTATGTTTCGTTTATTTTACAAGCATATAATAGGGGAAAGTGGTGGATGTCTGTTGTATGATGGTATTGTCAATTCTCACTCTATTTCAGATTTTTTTGGGGGTAGATCAGTTTGCCACAACAAATCCAGAAGGGAACTGGGGGTTCTGCACATCCCCTTCTTCTGCTCAGTATTAAAGCCAGCCTTATAGACTAGAATTTTCAAAGGACACTTAAAAGCACGCTGCTTGCATCAAAGATGACAGAACAACAAATGTGGTTCATCACACGGCTGTCATCCCCACCTTGCATGTGAGCATAGTCAAATAATACTAATAGTTTAATAACTTCTGGTTTTCAGTATTAATTTTTATTTAACATTGACACAGCATGAGATAGTAATATGCACAAACTCATACTTTGGTAAGACGTCTTCACATACAGTATACTTCAATCATAATCTCCAGTTACCAAAAAACAAACAAACAGCTGCACTGCATATTGGTGTACAAGGTTCATTGTGACTACATTCACAAGCCAATGTTAGATCAGGTCTAAGGCCCATCCAGACCAACACTCTGTCACACAGTGGG